ACGACAGAGGAGTAAGAGAGAGGGAGTGAGAGAGAGAGAGAGAGAGAGAGAGAGAGAGAAAGAGAGCAATCTATAGATGGATATAATAGAGAAAGGGATAGAAAGGCGGTAATGAAAACAGAGAAGAGGAGATCGAGGGAGATAGAGAGAGACTGAGAGAGGCAAACAAAAAAAGAGAGAAAGAGGGAGCTACAGAAAGTGGGTGATAGAGCGGAAAATTGAGAAATATAGAAAACAATAAAGGCCCGACACACGCATATCTTATAACAATTCATACAGGACTAAAAATTTGATTAAGGAAAAACTGAATTGTATCAATAGATCTGATTGCAACACGCCTACCTATGTATATGATGATATGTATGCAATGCCTCTAACTATCTATCTATAAAATTGACTAACTTCGTAGGCAGTCCTCGTCTAACAGCAGAGTATATTCTAGTCGGCTATCTCTCGCTCTCTCTCTCTCTATCATCGCCTTGCTTTTGCACCCTATATAATAAAGTTTGGCTTTTGTTTTTGTTATTTTTGTTTTTGCTTTGTTCTGTTTTGTTATTTTGTTGTTGTCGTGCATTGCATTTGTTTATTGTCATTGTCAGCGTTATTTAAACGTTGACAGTTTTGAAACATTTTTTCTTGTGGCCTAAAAATAGACTGAGTGAGAAAGATAGAGAGAGAGAGAGGGGGGGTAGAGGCATGGAGGGAATGAGAAACGAACTGAAAATGAAAATGAAAATGTGGCAGGCGGCAACTTTGTCTGCGGCGCTTGTCCATTGGGGCCAGTGGCAGTTGCTGTTTGGCCAACAGGCGGCAGCGAGTCACGCCCCACGCCCAGCGTGCCCCTAACCCACACACAGCCGCAGCACTGTCCGAGCGCCAAGCCCCCACCCCGCCTGTGGCGCTTCAGGCTTTGTGGCATAAAGTCCTTTAATGCTCTAATCAAATTGTGGCTTCTTTTTGTGCTGCCTTGTCGTCAACTTTGACTTGTTGTTGTTGTTGTTGCTGTTGTTGCTGCTGCTGTTGCTGTCATCATTGTTTTGGTTTCATTGACGCGTTTATTAAAATTGCCGTGGCAAAGTTCTTTGCCAGCATCGGCAGCATTTTATTTTTAATAACAGTGGCGAGCAGCTTGAGCTGGCTTCTTAGTTAATTTGTTTTTGCTGCTGCTGCTGCTGTTGCTGCTGCCTACTAAGAGTACAGGTGCCTGCAGGTGTGCTGGTGTTTGCAGGTGTGCTAAGGCTAATTTCATTTGCAGCTAAAGATAATTGCAATATAAATATATTTACTTTCATTTTTCCATATTGCTGAACTTTATTTAAATGAATGGCACGCATATATTCATTAAATAAACTCTCTTCTCTTCTCTTCTCTTCTCTTCTCTTCTCTCTCTTTCTATCTCTCTCTCACTCACTCTCTTTTATGCTACTTAAATTCTGTCAATTTAGCTAGAAATCTTAATGCAAACATTTGCATTTCAATCGTGCACTAAAGACAGTTGCTACATATCTATGTACTTAACACACACACACACACACAAACACATACATATGCATATGTGTGTGCGTGTGCTTGTGTTTGTTTGCTGTCCACTAAAATAACGCATAAGCAAGGGCCACACAAACTTGATGCTTAAACGAACTACACACACACACACACACTCACACATACATATATACGAGCACACACACATTCACACACAGCTGTTTGGGCTGTGCTTGAATCTAAGTTAATTACTTAATGGCAACGTAATGCACAGGCATTTTAATAATTAACAAACATTTCATTGACTGGCATAAGTGACACACAAACACAGACAAACACACTCAAGCACACACACACACATGTACCTGCATATAGACGCACACATTGAGTTCATGGCACAGTTTGTTGGCCCTTTTGATATATTTATTTATAAGCCTTGCGCAACAGTCGGCAAAATTTTTGTTGTTGTTGTTTTTTTCCTCTATTTTTTGCATTTGCATAAATGCATAATTTCCATTCACACACACACACACACACACTCATGCATGTACACGCACACATATGCACATGCTTGTAATCGTTTGTTATTTGTCTTTGTTTTCTTCTGCTTCTTCCTCTTCTTAGTTCGTTTTTGTTTTTGTTAGCCTTTTACGCGCTTTCTTCGTCGGTCGGCCACACCGTGTGCCTCTGCGCTCACCGTTATGCCCGTTCGTCCGTCCGTCCGCACGCACCGTGTCCCACAAAAGTTGCCGTCTAACTGACGCGCTTCGGCTGGGGCCACGGCCAGCTGGCGTTGCGTAGCGCTGCGAGGCTGCGGCTGCTGCGGCGGCTGCGGCAGCGATGTCAGCAAGCCAAGTCCCGTATGTAAAATCCATGTCCTGTCCTGGATTCCGTTGCGGTCCTCGTGCATTGCTGCCAACGTCGACGTCGACGGCGACGCCAGCGTCGAAAGAGCATCAGCTGGCAACTCTTTGACAACACATACATCGATGCTGCGTAGCGGCCGCTGCTTCGGCTGTGCTCTGCCTACGCTTCGGCTCGGGCTGTCTTCGGCTGCTGTCGTTTAACGAGCATCATGGGAGCATTTGACAAGGCCTGCGTCGTCGTCTCTTTTTGGGCGCGTCTACTGCCTCTTGAGCTCTGCTCTCGTCAAAGAGCATTTGTCGCTTTGTCGCGCTGTTGACTAACAGCACTGTTACACTAACAGTGAGTGGAGAGTTTAAACAGCGCTGTTAAGCGTTACAGTGACTGGCTGTTAGTGGGAATCAGGTTGAATTCTAATTGGTATGCAAGAGAGAAATGAAAATAAAGTTGATTTAATTGTAAACAAAAAGTTTATAAATTTATAAATTTATAAAAAATAGAGAAAAATGTATGAAATTATGTAAGTTGGAAATGCGAATATGTATTTGTATAAAATATATACAAAAGGTCATTTAAATTTGACTAACATTTGCAGGCTCAATCTGATTTTCCAATTCAGCTGGAATGCAAATTGTTGTTGTCTAATAGGATATGAATAAGTCCAATGCAATATGTATTGCATTTGTATAATACCCAAAAATCGTTTATAATTGAGCTATTCGCATTGTCGTGCTGTCTCTTTCACTGTGGGCATAAGAATAATAAGAACATGCAACATTAACTGGCAGCCGCAGTGGCAACGGCCTTGTGCAGCCAACTATGCAATAGGAAAATCCCAAGACTTTGGTTGTCATTCTTCTTGCTGTTGTGCTGCTCGCTGGAAATCCTATTAGCCACATGCCCGTCTCGCAGACAGCTGAGGCAGGCAGGCAGGAGGCTGGCAGGAGGCAGGCTGGCTGGCAGGAATCGCAGCACAAAATGCAACGCAACAAGCGGAAATGTATTTTTCGGCTGAGGCTGCAAGAAGAGATATTCAACTGCCAAGCCGCTTATCAAAAAATAGTGGAATAGCACAAAATAAATAGAAAATGGAACAGAGACAGATGGAGAGAAAGAGAGCGAGAGAGAGTGAGAAAGGGCAAATAAAATTAGTGCAGACTCTGGTCTGCCTCAGCCCGCATCGCAGCAAATCGCTACTTGGCTTATCAGTCACTCTCAGGACTCGAGATGGAGCTGCCTGCCAAGCGAAAGTATCTGCAATGGACGTGGACGGCAGCTAGACAACAGTTGCAAGCACTCCAGAACCATTCTGCCCTTCGCCATCAAAGGCGAGCCTTTCTTAATAGTTTTCTGTGCACTTGAAATTTCATTCAGCTCCACGGCCACGACAGCAAATGGCTTCGGGGCTTAAGTCTTTGATAAGGAATAAATTGCAGATTACAATTTGAGCAATGATCACTCAAAAAGCGATCAATGGTCAATCCAGCAGTGCGTGAGTCAAGTCTTTCAGTCAGTTGGCTCACAAGCAAGACGATCTATTTATCAGCCTGTTGATCAATCACTAATAAATTCATTCAACTCTTATTCACAAAAAGTCAGTCAGTCAGTCCATCAAGCAAACCAAAATATGAGACAATCTTTCACTCAATCAATATGTCAACAAATAGTCAATCAA